GGGGGGTCTGATTTTCTCTTTGATAGCTCTATAACAAAACAAAATTGAAGGCCATAAAAATTATGGTCTGTTTGAGCAATAATGATTTTATTTTTTTCTTGCTCTCAGGTTTCGAAGAAAGTTAATCCTAATTTTTTATACTATAGATAGTAATGCAGTTAATAGTTTTTATTTAATTAAATAATGCACCCAAAAATATAGACTAATAACATGCAAAAAGTAGACAAAATCACTTATCTCTCAAAACTTTTCTGGCTTTCTAACAATGTGATAAGAGCTGTTACAAATTCACCCAAGCTAGTCATTGGCTTTCCCATGGGAATGAAGCTAGTACTAACAGTGGAATTGACATTTTTTTATTCAGAAAACAACGTTATACAGTACATCATTCGATAAATGAAAAGCTTGGCTTTCTATTGGTTATAGATAATGTAGAATTAAACGTAAGAGAGAACTATCAACGAATTGTGAAAGAGAGGATGTGACAGATGGGTATGGCAGGAGGGGTCTGATTTTCTATATTTGATAGCTCTGTAACCAAATAAAACTGAAGCATATAAAAATTATGGTGTGTCTGAGCAATAACGATTTTATAGAGTAACTTGCGCTTAATTTTGTACATTTTCGGGGGGTGGTGGATAAAATAGGGATGATGACATGATAAGACAAAATTGGCCGATAGGGTTAATGCACTAGAAAATCCACAAGTTGCAGTTTCCAATTAACATGCTCGCTAAGAAACACTACTTTTTTTATGGCAGAAAGTGAAGGAGTTAGAAAATTTTGCAGCATGACAAAATTAAAGAGATTGAATTAAGTTTGCATGCACTGTCTCAGGTTTTTGCAAAATTCCTCTGTGATCCCACACTACAGTTGATATCACTTACAATGATTTTATAGTGGAGTCATAATAGAGATTTGAAGCTTGAGCAAACTGTCAGCAGTAGATTTCCAGCCTGGTTTGCTTATTTTATTTGCAATCCCTATTTTTAATTTTCTTGTATGTTATCTTTGTTAATGCACAGCAATGGGTAAGTATATGCCTAGACACAACCCTCACTAAACTTATATAACATTTTACCAGTAGAAAATCAGCTTTTTCAGATAAAACAAATATGTCTAAAACATTGCTTTAAATAAAGCTTTGTGTCTTTTAAAGTAATTATTTACTGAGCTAGGTGATTTTGTGTCAGAGGTTTTTGTAAGTATGTGTTTAACATGCATTGAGTACAAAGGCAGCCACTCATAACAACATCGCATCTATTATGTACTTATAACCATGTAAATCAACTTTCATTGAAAAATAATCAACTTTTAAATAGGTCATGGACATTTGCAGCATTTCATATAGTATGTCTGTCTAGGTTTTGGTGCAAAATGCCAGCCAATCTTGCTGTAGGCTTGTGAAACAATAATATTAATATGGGCAAATTTTTGTTTTGTCAATCAATTGTGAAATCACTTATTTTGTTTATTATCAATGTTCAAGTGGTCTTAATTACTGAAAAGGAAGGTTTTGAGAGTTGTTTAAAGAATAAGTTTGCTTTTTAAGGTGGTTTTTGCTCCAATGTTCTTTTAGAGTTTTGAGCAAATTCCTGTGTGATCCTACTTATGAACCACTACAGTGGTTCATGAGTGTATCTCATTGAGTAACACTGGCTGTTTGAATCATCCTAAACTAATTGAAGTTTTTGGTTATTTCCTGTTTTTATCAGAATCATTAAACAACATTCAAGCTCCAGTGAACTACACTACCAAACCCTTCAGGCATTAAAAGACAAGGAAGAAGAAACTGAACTCACCTTAAAACAGGAACAAGAAGCTAACATAATTGCCAAGGTGCCATTTCATATATCTGAAAATATAGTTATAATGGCTTAAATAGCTCTTTCCTTGTTTCAAATTGCATTTGCCTAAGTCCAAACAATATTTTTTCATGATATAAAATGTCCATTACCTACAAAATGACTTTATAAATCTATTATATAATTTCATAATTGTTTTTTTGTTGAGTGTAAGAAAAGTATGTTTTAGTGAAATGGTAACTAAAGTGTGCTAAGGTATACTAGTAGAAACTTGATTTTCTTTTATTCAATATATAAAATAGTTAGTAGTTTGCTTCTTATGTTAAGCATAAAGATGATGTTTGCCATTTCTTAAAAGCATATACAAAACTTTTGGGGTTTTCATTATTGAACAGTATAAAAATTTAAAAGAAAATTAAAATTTTAAGAAATACCTTTAATTTACTCATATTACTTCATTTTTGATAGACAGAAACAATGGAAAGATTGAGAAAGTTAGAAGAACAACAATTCCAAATTTCAGAAAACTTGACCATCACTCAAAAAAAACTAGCTGATGAGAAAAGTAAGGCATTTTTCTTGATTAAAAAGTAAGATGTGTGTTTTCAATTTCATTGAACTCTAGGTTTATTGAGTTAATTCAATGATGCAGTATTTACATGGTATTTAGAAAAAAGATATTGTCAAACTATTGGATGCAAGACTGTTATAAAATAGGAATAATGTAGTTCATGAAATATATGATCTGGACACCTATTATAATGTAGTTCATCAAGTATACGATGTGGACATCTATTCAGTGAATTACAAACTGTGTATTTGCTAACATTAATAGGATCTAGGTATATTAACTCTTTTAACAACACTTGATAAAACCTAGTTAGATATTATAACGTGAGATTTTCTGTCATATGTTTGTGGAAAACATCCCTCAATGGGACAGCAGTAAGTTTACAAACTTACAATACTAAAAACCTGGGTTCAGTTCCCTGTAGTGGACACAGCAGATAGCCCAATGTGGTTTTGCTCTAAAATAAACCACAACAATTCTGATAACTACATTATCTCTTCTCATATGTTTACCTATTCTCGTTCAGTGCTGCCCTTTTTCTCCTAACAATTATCAGGTTCCTCATGCATTGTCCGAACTTGTTCATGACGTAGAAGATTTTGACAGTGTTTTTCCTCCTCCTAAGTATGCTGTGCCTTCCCATGCATCTTCTATGAAATTTACTAGGCCTAACTCTGTCTTTTTGGATATGTTTTTTCAGGTGTGTTCTCTTGTATCATTTTTACTGTTTTCATATGATACTGTTCCTTCTTTTTTACATGACACCCATCATTAAAAAACCTGTTAATGATGTGGAAGATTTTGACAGCCTTTTTCCTCCTTCTAACTATGCTGTGCCTTCCCATGCATCTCCTATGAAATATACTAGGCCTAACTCCACCATTTTGGGTATGCTTTCTCAGGTGTGTTCTGTTGTTTCATTTTCACTGTTTTCATATGGTGCTGTTCCTTCTATTTTTACATGACATCCATCCCTTGTTTTCCCTCCTTCCCCTGACATCAGGGTTCATTCTGAGCATTTTGTTTCTTATTTGAGGGCTGGTGTTAGCATGCGTCATCCTCCATGAACTTCTGATCATTATGCTTTGGCTTATCAGCAAGCTGATCATCCATTTCTCGACTCACAGCAGTTAGAGTCACTTTTGCCAATGTGGGGAGATGTCCCTGATAATCCTATCCATTTCTCCCACATTCATTTTCCCACCCTTGTCGTACTCCTACAGTACTTGTCCAACATACACATCCCTTCTGAGGCCCTTCACCGGTCCTCTGAGGGTTTTTCGGGGATACACTTACTCCTTACTCCTCCTTGGTGCTATTTTGTTCTTTGGCCCTACCTATTCACACATGGTTTCGTTGCTGTTGGGATCTTATTGGAAAGGATGCTGTCTTTTCATCTTTTCACAGGTTCATATACCTTTCCCTTATATTCATGACTTCCATATGGCTCCTTTTCTTCATTGGTTTGATTTTGGAGATTTTCTAGAGTCATTGGAATCACATGTGGACTTTGCGAGTCCACATTTGACCCTTTAGTCTTTGATTACACGTTTGTCTCATTCTGACATGATGATCTCTCCAATAACTGTTTCTCCTCTTGCAGCCTCCCATCCTTTACCAGTTCCTACCATTAGGGGTTCAAAATTTCTCAGTGTGTCTCGACGTCGAGTTCATCATCACCAGAAGTTCCAGTGTCCAGTGACTATTAGGTGTTTTCCGGTCCAGTGGGGACCTATTTGGCCAATGTTCTTCCAAGTTTTGTCAGAAGGATTTTTAAGTTTCTTCTGGATCGATCTTTCCTACTCAGAACTTTAGTGGCTCATTTTCTCTTCCATCCATTTCCAACCTTTATTCCTGGTCTCCTCCAGATAGACCTCCATGTTCAGTATGTATTCTTTGCATGGCCTCCTTTAGTGGTTCCCATTTCCACCTTTTCATTCCCTGGCACTGTTCATCTGTACGTGACTATTCTCTTTATACCCTTAAAATTTGGGATTGTCGACTACTTCGATTGGTCTATTCCTCCCTGTCTGTTTCTTCCCAATTTTTGTTCTAGGTGTCTTCACGTAAGATTGAGCACCTTTCTTTCTTCTTGGAGTCTCACATCCATCATCCATTGGAGGAAACTACAGTTAGGCATGTGGCCTAAACCTCGTATGTTCATCTCCCACTATTGGGTGCAGCTGTGACTGGGTAAGTTATCTTTTTTATATATATTTTTCCCTCCAGGAGTATGTTCCATTTAGGATTTGGATTCTGCTTAGTGGCGAATGTTGCCTGTCCAGATGTGCTTCCTATATCTCAAATCTGCACTGTACAGCCAAGATGTATACCCATCGACAATAATGCACACTGTTGAGATAGGGTGTTCAACAAGATTGCTAGTAGGTTTTCCTCTCAATATATTTGATTCATTAATATGCCCATTCCAGACTGTACTAACCCATAGACTTATAAGGGTAAAGCAGAAGGGAATAGCTGCCCATCCCTGCCATCCCTTCAAATGAATAAATCAGGGGAGGTCTGCTTTTCAGTATAGGGTTTCTGTTGTTACCCATTGCACTGTCTCCAGTGTTGGCATTCCTCCAGACTCTCCACTACATTTTTATCCCCCTTGTTCTTCCAGTAAAATATGGGAATTCTTGCCACTTTCCAGTTCTGAGCTGCTGGTATGTGGCCATGAAGGTATCCTCTTTTAATGTGATCACTTTCATTCAATACAGAGTAGAGCAGTGGTGTTCTGCTGGTATAGATGGAATTTGATCCGGAGGGAACCGGAGGTTGAGGTTGCACTTCAACTTTTGTGTTGTCTTATCTGAAGGATGGTGTTGCTTTGAAGTAAATCTGGGACATTGCCTTTTGCCCCTTTGATTGGGACCCCCTCACCCTACCGTCACCTGGATGTCAGTTCTAAGTGAGTGGTTTTGGATTAGAGCTGGACCAATCAACATACATTCTCACACGTGTTTTTGTGATTCCTCATCGTAACTCCAATTCCACATCGATGTGATGGGTCCTAAAGGTTGATGTTGTGCACAGATGTGCTTGAACTTCTTTGAGGTCTTATCTGGAGGATGATTATGTTTGGGTGAAAGTTCTGGTGCTCTGCCTGAGAAATTTCCCCCTTTCTGAGGTTGCTGTTGTGCTGAAGGGTTCCAGTCAGATTGGGTTTGGTTTTATGTGTTCCACCACATTGGTACATCCCTTTGCACCATCATTCAGATGTATGAGTGGTTGTGCCCCATTTAGTAGAACAGTTTGATATGTGTATAATTCCATTCTGCTCAACTTGAGGTGAAAACTGTGTGGATCCTCCTCCTACCAGGGGTCAGAAGTTGTAATCCCAATGCCTATTGGTTTCCAATTGAAGTTGACCAGCCACTTACAGTCTGTTGTACCCTAGCCACTCTACACCTTGAAGCACATCCATCTTAGCTTTCCCCACATTCCTGTCTATAGATAGTTCTTCTACAGTCTTTCTTCATTGGGATTGAGATTCCATTATCTCTTTATCTTTGTTATTCCATTTATAACGTTTTAAGTATGTTCTCTCACCAATCCATTACCATATACCAATTATATCGTAAAACTATTGTTAAACTACTTAACCTGAATATAAAAATCATCAAAAGGAGAAACGATATTTCCTTCCTCAGACAGTGCCTCTCTGAAAAGCTAATTCCTAAATTTGTGAAGGTCAAATTATCGAAAAACTTAACCAGTTTTTCAGGTATTATCCAAAGCATGCAGAAAAAACTCCTAAAAGCAACCCTGACTTCCAAATATCAAGAACTGGACTTCTTACAAAAACTCAAACAGAAATTAGACCACCAACTAGCCTGCTACCTCAAACCAGATGATTACGGCAATATACAACGCGCTATCAACCAAAACAACTCATTGTTGAATCAAGAAAAGAAGTCAACACACAATAAGAAACTAGATCAACTAAGGAAACTACAACAATGCAGCTCAGCCTAACCTTGTAATCAACAGATCTGACCGGACACTCAACGACACAGAACTTCAACTTTTAAACAAAGGACTCAACTTTGCCATCAACCACAAAACAACTCCATGCCTAGAGTTCAAGGCGTGTCTAGAAGATCTAGCCAGAAGACTAGTGACCCACTACATAAAAGAACAAAAGACCACCTCTACCTCAAACATCCTCCAACTACAGAAAGAAGAAATCCATGACATCAACCAACAGACTTTTATCACAGGTAACTACAACAAAATGTGGTTTCCCGAAGTTCCCAAAAACTGTATTTTAAATAACTTTTTTAAAGAATTCTCAAACAAGACTATTAATATAGTCAACCAATCCTGTAAACTGAAAAGTAACCTCACAAGTAACGAGATCAAATCCATTTATAATCTTAAAGAGGACACTAACATTAAAATTCTGAAAGCTGATAAAGGCAACACTACTGTCATCATGAACAATTCAGAATACATCGACAAAATGAACGACATCCTTTCTGATAAAAAGAAATTCAAAGCCATCCCAAGTAACCCAACAAACACACACGAAAAACAATTAAACAGAACTTTATTACAAATAAAAAAAAGGGAATTTAATTACTGACGATCTTTATTTTTATCTACATAAAACTGATTCACGCACACCACAACTCTCTGGAATTCCTAAACCACACAAACAGGACTGCCCCCTAAGGCCTATACTGTCCACTTATGATTC